GACTACATCCGCCCTGTCCTCTGCTGCCGTGCACCCGAGGGGCGCCTATATACTTACTGTTTTCGCAGAGTGGAAACTCTAACTTGGGGACATCAATAACTGAACCATACAAACACACATCCCACTCTCCTCTCGGGATATATACTTCAATTTCCAATATTCTCTTTTGGTACGTGTTTACTATTTCCGCTGTCCCTCTCCCCGCCGTCTCCGACACGAACGGGGTCTTTACGGAGGTGGATTTCTGACTTTTATGTTTTCTTTTTTGCATGATGTTCTTTACCTCTGCGATCATTCTCCGTCGTGGCCAATTGGTGATCCTGTCAAAACCATACTCGTGCTTCGAATACTCTCCGTACGCTTGGGAAACTCGCTCCGACCTCCTTTCTGCAATGACGTGATTGGAACGCCGGTCGCGGGGGGAATAACACTGAAACACGAAATCATCGCTACACGATCTCCCATCGGATGCGCGTATTCCATCTATGCGAACGACCAACGTTCTATCTTCTCTGTACGATACGAATCGTTGTTCATCAATTGGAACGTAATGCCTATCTCATTACCACGACACAACGACTGCCGAATCAAAACGATCCCAAATTCGTTCAACAATATAACGGCTGTTTCGTTTACCCTCCAATTGAAATCACCCAATGCATTTGATGACGACAATAACCCTCCATTGGTTCGCATGCTTCCATCAACTCAATACGAATAATCACCAACGAATCTCGCTCTCCCCCATTATTAATTCTCTACGGCTTCCAATCATTATAGCGACGCGACACTTCTCGTTCCCCTAGATCTGTCAAGCGGCCCATTCAATCGCGCCGATTCAATCACAAGTCCCATCACGGAGGCCGTCCAGGGTCATCTTCCACCATAAATCTTTCTATCACCTTCTTCTCTATCCCACCACCTCTGCTTTCCCCTCGCTGCGTGACCCTGTGACTTTATATTAATTCACTCCACACGCCCTTCCCGTGTGATCGAAGTCGCTACAAAGGCTGGGATATTGCAATAGACGGACACTGAATTCTGTTTTGGCTTCTTCTCTCTCATCCCTTCCTCCGTCACCATCTCCCTTTCTCTCATTTGTCGCATCTCTTTTTTCGTTCGCGGTCTCGACTTTTGTGCGCTCATCCTGTGTTCAGCCCGTGTCCCTTCATTGAGCTGACACTCCGGCATTGGTTGTGTTGAGAACATCTGGTCCCTTGCCGTTCCAATATTTCTTTAATTCCTGTTGGGACGTTTCAGGCCGACAGCCAAGGGCAAGCGTGTATTCCGTCAGTTCATTGGAGCCTTCCTTGTTTTGCATTAAACAGGCTCGAAAACGGCTCCAGCCCTCTCTATCTCCTAGTTTTTTAGCGCGTCACTCCTATTCAACTTCCTCGCAGCCAGGCCGACCAAGGACGTCTTCCGTCTTCGCGCTCGGGTGATCGTAACACGTCTTCATATACTTCCCGAGGTGACCTATCTGACCACCAGCACTATTAACCCTACCACCACCGTCCATCCTCAATTTTCATCTTTGCCAGCTGGCGCGATTTAACTCAAATCAAGCTCGGGGTTCATCTCTACATTCACGGCGCCATTACCCCTTCTTCCACT